AAAATACGGTATTAAATAGTCTAGGGAGGTAATAGGTCCTCATGAAAGTTTAGTATCGCAACAGCAAATCCGACCAAAGTTGGGGTATTTTTCAGACCCTTATCCCAAAAAAATATTCTTCCTCATTTAATAGATGTAAATTTTGTCAAGCTTTATTTTTTTCACAATCTTCACATTATTAAAACAAGCAATAATATTACGATTAAACAACAGAGTAAATATAAAATTAATTAAAAATATTTAATTTTTAATGATCACGCGAAGCGAGGCCAAGTTCTCTAGTATAAAAATAACTTAAAATAAGTTCAGAAGTGTTTGAAAATGACTTAAAATAAGTCAAAAATCAAAAGTAGGTCCCCCCCCTACTTTTGTCCCTTAACTATACACTTACCTATGTTAGTCCCTTAGTTATAATACATACACTTACTGGTTTGAGTCATTTAAGTATTCAAAAACATACATGTTTGTTTTTTGTCTATTTTTTTAATACAAATAACTTGGTTTATATTAATGGAACTTATGCCTCCGTAAAATTAAATTTTTAACCTATTTTCAATTTTTTCTCTCTCCTCGCTATTTTTTCGTCAAATTACTCTTGTGAAAAGAACCATAATCTCAACGATTCAAAACAAAATTAACGACGAAAGAAGATATAAGTCCTGATTTTATTCAATGGAGGATAAAATGAAGCATATTCTTGTTGATAATGACTTGAATATGTCATATTCCCTTCTTTAGCGGTTAACAGTTCATAATCAATGTGACTTTTTAAAATTTTATTTTTCATACAAAAGAAAAATAAGAGATTTGATCTTATTACTCAAATTTCTCTATGTAAAATAAAACGAAAAGAATAACAAAATTGATCTATTTCAAAATATAAAAGAATCTAAAAAATATTATATGCAAATTTATCGTTTTTAAATTTCAACTTCTAAGAAACTAAACAAATTCCCTTCAATAAAGATGTTGGAATACAAATTTGGAATCAAACATGTGAGTAAAGAAATTTTAATTTTATTCTCATAGCAAAAAAATCATTTTCATTAAACATAAATATATCTCTTGCCATATCTAACAGATAATAATATTTTTTTTGTATTTAACTGTAATGATCCGAACCGTCGTTATTTAGGAAAAATAAAACTTCGGAAAATTACTGGGCCACTGTCCCGCCAGAGCTGGCTAAATGCCGCTAGGGCGGCGGCGCCTCGGCGGGTAAGTTGGCGCCAGAGAGGGATAGAGCGGGATAGACGAGACAGAATGTAAATAATGCAAAATCTTATTTTCTCTTTCTTCCTAAAATCTTAATTTAGACGTAAATCACCCCCAAACCCCTCCAAAGGCTGCTCTAGGCTAGGAAGAGAAGGAGGAGGAGATTTCTAGCGTAAGAAGGTCGAGGGATTGTGGATTTCTGGCCAAGATCACTGTCACGAAGTCCGAAAACCAAAATCGCGGCCATAATTTCGTGCAGCTACTTGGCGCCCAGGTAGGCTAGATTTTATTAATTTAGTAGTTATAAATTTGTGCCCACTGCGTAGTATAATGATAATCAATGGTAGGATTCATGCATAAGCCTTCGTGCACCGAACAAAAGATGATTAAATCATAGGAAGAAGCCTTAGAGATGAACTAGGGCTAGAGATGGTCGAGTTATTGTTTTGGTGTCGTGCGTTGATGAATGTTTCATTGTGATGGTTGTGATTTCATGATTGTGTGATATATGTTGTTCTTGCTTCATTATAATACGTGTATGTATGCGACTGTTGCATTATTGATCGCACTAGTTGTAAATGAGATAGATGAATGATGAATGTCATGAATCATGACTTGATTGTATGATTTGAGAATATACTTGTGATTGTGATTGTGGCTTGTTGAATGGATCGGGTGTTGCGTTCCGACACACTAAGTTGGATCGGTAGCCACGTTCCGGCATAAATATGGGATCGATTGCCACGTTTCGGCATAAACATTGGATCGGGTACCATGTTCTGATATGCTAACAGTTTGAGTGTGGGTCTCATGAGAGGACCATTGATTTGACATAACTGTGTAATTGGAGATTTGTGAAATTGTACGTTGTTCGTAAGTGATAATTGATTTTGTATTTCCCCGGAATTGTTAAGTGATTATGATAACCTATATCTGATTGTTCTACTATGTTGAGTAAACTGGTTAACTATTTCGTTGTTGAATGAGCCGGGAAGGACAAGCCCTAACCGGGATGGGATACGGTATGTGGGGAGTCAAGAGTCAAGAGTGGTTAATGTTCGAATAAAGGGTTGTCCGTGTGTTGCAAGGGTGAGAAGTGGGGGATATGGTACGTGATGAAAATACTTAGGTAGATCCCACCTTGGAGAAAGGGATTCGTGGTTAGTAGTTAGAAGGCTGGATATAATGTACCATATGGCAAAGGCTGGGTAATATGAAGTGAAAGTAAGGGTATGCGTGAGTGGTTAGTCGGAATGCTTGTAGTTGAAATGGTGGACTCTTCTATGCGTTAGAATAGTTAAGCTATGATCAAGAACCTAGTAAGTAGGTTGACTGAGACAGTGGTTAGTAGTAAGGGTACTAGTGTAATTCTGTGGTATTCGAGAGAGGGTAAAGGTGGAGAAGCGAGTGGTTTTTATTGCATGATCTTGCTAGTTGAATTCTTATATTATGCGGTGGGCATCGAGTTGACCGATGATGCCTACCAGTATGTGTGGTTTTGCACTGATAGTACTACTCTTGCTATGTCTTTTTGGCATAGTCTGGATGGATGGTCGATGACGTTTCATTAGGTGAAGACGAAAAAAATCTCCAGCAGCTTCTATTTTTTCCTTCCGCATGGTTGGAGCTGTGTCTTTCCATTATTATGTACTGTTTTGTACTCTTAGTTGCTCTTGTACATGTTTAGACTAGATCCCTGGGGGTGTTAATTACTTTACAAGTCTTAACTTGGAGTCGCTTTAAACTCTTGTTTTTATGGAAATATTTTATGAATTTCCTTTATTCGACAATTTTCTTAATTTTTCGCATGATTTTAACTATTGGGAATCGAGGGTTCTCCTATCTAGGTGTTAGAGTAGGTGCCCGCACGCCCCAGTGGGTTGGATCGTGACATTAACATATTTAAGTCATTAGCAACAATTATGTTTCATTTTATCCTTCATTGAATAAAATTAGGATATATATTTACTTATCTTGTAAATTTTATTTTGAATCATTGAGGTTAAACCTTTTCAAAAGAGTAAATTTGAAGAAAAGTAGCAGAGATAGACAAAAAACTGGAAAAATGGGTTAAGAATTTAATTTCATGGAGACATGAGTTCCGTTAATATAAACCTAAGCTATTTGTATTTAAAAATTACAAAGATCAAACCCGATGAGTTTTTTAATACTTAAAGGACTAAAATCGGTAAGTTCATTGTTAAGGGACCAAACCCGATGAAATTTGGAATAGTAAAAAGACTCAGTAGGCCTTTGGACATGCGATATGAAATCGCGATAGAAAATCATGATATGAAATCAACGTTTGGGCGTGCAATTTCACGCTGGTTTTATCTCATGATTTCATATTATGAGATGAAATCTCAAATTCTCCAAAAACCATGATTGGAGAATTTCAAATCATGATTTGAGATTTTTTAAGTACAAAAATTGACCCACAAGTTCATATTTTGTAAAAACAACCCCACATATATATCTACTAACCATTTATTTCATATGTATATATAATTTATAATTCATATCATTACTTTTTAAACCATTTATATCTCATATAATGATTATTCTCACAAACAAATAATATATTATCATTTCAAATCAATTTCCACTTTCCCATTTATATTCACCAAATTCATTGCTTTTTTTATCAAATATATTTACCAACTAAATTGACCAACAAATGGCTCAAAGTAACAATGTTGGTTCGTCTTCTCAATCATATGAGTGAGAAATCCGTACTAAGCAGGTGGATATATTAAAGACTAGTATATCACAAATTGTATATATATATTTTTTATTGAATTAAGGTTTGATCAATAAATATTATATGTTTTAAGAATATCTTTGTGATTGTGTATTATGCGATTTTATAAACTTGTGCTTATTTGGTAAGATTCTGCAAAGTTTAATAGATTTACAAATTATGAGGTTTTTATGTTTATGAAAAAACACACAACCTAAAAAGTTCAAATTGCATGTTCAAATAAAACTTCAACTTTATCTCATGATTTCATTTCATTTCATGATTTCAAATCATAATTTCATATCGCATAACCAAACAAGTCCTAAATCCAATAAATATATAGTTATTATTTTAGACGTATTCCAATAGTTGAGATAACATTTGTCGCATTTTCTCCCTAATTTGGAACACACTGAAAATGATATAGGGGTTAATACCTGTGTGTGTCCAATTATATAAAGTTATTGTCAAAAAAAGGTGCAATTGTAGAATAAAGGAATATTCAAGTAATTTATGGCCCACCCCTACCGCAAGATCCTTGTTTACTTGTCACTTCTTCACCACCCCGGGCAAGTCGACCTGGGTATCTGCAGTGTATATACACAATTTTTGCAAGCTTTTGGCTGCACTGAACTCAAAATATTTCGATAATTATTGATGGATTTCACATCCGGCCTGTCGTTCCCATCATCTCTTGCGCCTAATGGAAATTGTAGTAGCAACAACAATTGTAGCAGTAGTTTCAATCATCGATCATGCTACAATAATATCAGCAGTAAGGCCAATTTGTTGAAGAAGCAATCTTATGTCTTCAGCAAATACCAGTTGCGAAATTTCAAGATTCGACGTGTTCCTCGAATTGAAGCTCAGGTGAAGAAAATTCCATCATCTTTTCTTGTGTCGTGTTAAACCCTTTTTTCCTTTAGATATAATATATAAATATGCCTTCTAACTTTGGGTGTGCACAAGTAGATACTCGCTTTAGCATCTAGAGAGTTGTGGATGACTGTTAAATTCCTTATCGCTGTGTTGTTATTGATAGTAACATGTAGAAAATTTATGGGTTAGGGAAGTAGAATGGCTTCAATTAAAAGAGAAAACACGAGGAGAGTTTGATATGGTTAACTTAAAGATGTTTGGGAGCTAAAGATTTAACAATGATACATCCTGTCTGTTGCTCGCTCCTTTATCCATAACTAGACTATGTGTGTATGCCTGTATCGGGGGATATAGGACTTAAGAATACCCTCTGTTAATAATTCCTGAAAAGGAAAAAAAGATGTTTTTTTGTTTTGTTTTTGGGTTAAGAAGCATGCCATCAAGCATTTCTGTTATTTTTTCCTATTATCTCCTGGAGTTCAGTTTGTTTCTTCCACAGTTGAAAGCTGAGCAACTAGAAAGCTCAGAAGCTGGTTGTGAATCTGATGGTCTTCAGTGGCCATCTCCAAATGATGAAATTCCATTCTGGAAAGGAGACTTTCCATCTTGGGACCTCAGTTCGGATGCTTCTGCTGGAGTGGAGCAGGATTCTGATCTTTTGCACATTGTTCATGTGACTGCTGAAATGGCACCTATAGCAAAAGTCGGGGGTCTAGGTGATGTTGTAACAGGACTTGGACGTGCCTGTTTAAATCGTGGCCACAAAGTTGATGTTATGATTCCTTTCTATGAATGTATTCCAAAGCATTGCATCAATGAGCTAGCCTTGATGAAAACTTACAACTCATATCATGATGGAAACTGGGTTGCCTGTAAAGCATATCGAGGAGAAGTTTCGGGCGTTCCAGTGATACTTATTGAACCATCCAACCACTTCTTCAAGGGAAAAAACATATATGGAGGGTCATACAATGAATTAGATGCATACTTATTTTTCAGCCGTGCTTGCCTTGAATGGATGCAGGTATTACAGCCATGAGTTATAAATTGTTTCATGGTAGATGTATAGAAAGATTAAAACTAAACTTACTCAGATTTGACAATTCTACTGAAACACTTTGGGTTAATGCCTTCAAACCCATGACTCATTGAGCTATATCTGATTGCACACTAGTTATATACACTTGTGCACATCTTGGGACAAGTCTGGAAATTTTTTATGTGATGATGGCATGTCAATATGGTTTGCTCCCTCAATCAAATGTAGTCCTAAGTTTATTTGGTTAGTTGCAGCCTCAATTCAGTAGGTTCTTGATGTCTGAATGTTTCAAACCTGCTCCTGTGTTTTGATTTGATGTCTTCTTCTAGCTTTCATGCAAACAACACTGTTACTGATTTTTCTGGTCAACATCCTCTTACAGGTAAATGGAACACAACCAGATATCATTCATGTACATGAATGGCAGACAGGTGCTTTACCTCTGTTCTACTGGGATATGTACCATTTTCTCTCACTCCAGGTATGATCAGGGGGCTTATGTTTTTCATTCCTTTAATTGATCTGTGCAGATCTATCTATCTGTTTGTTTTTAGCATTGACACCTCGTGCAGAAACCGAGAATTGTATTGACTATTCACAACATGGAGCATTATGGAGAATGCAGGTACACTTTTAGGCTATAAATGAAGGAAGAAATATGGGTCATTTTTCTAATATCTTTATGCTCTGTATGTATCTAACCTCTTCAACGATAGTATAGTTTAGTCCTAGGAGACCGTTGCACACCATAAATTAATCCCCTAAAACATTTAACCAGATGCAACAATAAAGAAACTGCAGAAACAACAAAGGAGACCATGATGGTCTTTTGTCCTCCTTGTGATTTTTCAAATCTCAGTTTGCAGTTGTCTGAATTAGTGTCTATTCTGTATTCTCTTTTAGTATGGGTGAAATATGTTAATTGCTGATTATGCCTCGGGGAATAACTTTGGAAGGTATCCAATATAAAGAAAGGTGAGTTAATAATACCAGGATCATCTTGAAATGTAAAACAATATGTTTACATTAGGGGAATACTCTGTGTTCTAGAATTCCCATTGTCAATGGGTGATGATATGCAAGCATTCTGAATAACCTTTATTCATTTCTGCAATCATTCCAAGGGAAAATCTTATAGTATGGAATTTCCAATTGGCTTCTTCTATGCTTTTATTGGTTTTCAACTAGGGATATTTTCAGTATTGATATTGTAATGGAATACAATACTGTACTGATATGTCCGTTTGCTGAAAAAAATAGTTATTTTACTATTGTCCCAGCCTCTCAGGAGGGTAGTGCATATCCAGAAAGGCTCAGTTGGTCAGTAGTAGAAGTTAATTCAAGACTGAGGGAACATTTGCAACTTGAGATTCATCGTTTGCAATCTAGAGATGGAAATGGGCCATGGAGGGTCAGGAAAGAGTGGGTTAAGCTTTTCTCTGTGTTGATTGGTACTGATAGTTAAGTAGTATGTTATTGTATTGAATGTAATTGGTTATGTGATATTGTCTTTTCTAGTTTAGTCTTAGGACTCATTGTATAAGTATCCATTCTCACGGGTTGTATATTCATGAAGAGATGTAAAGACCTTTTTCTTCTTCTTGAAATCTTCATGATATTAGAGCCATTGCTACCTTTTTGAGGTGAGTTATCTCCCTTGCAGCACTATGGTTCCATTTTTATGAAAGAGGCTGAGTTTTCTCATGTTGGTTGGCTGTTCGCTACACAATCTCCTTCTGGTTAGTTCCTTTTGGAAATTTTTTCCTCCATTGGGGTCACTGGAACATTCCGAGCCTATCTCTACTAGTTTTTGATTTTTTCCGATCACTGAAATTAGGATTCCGGTGTGGCAGCTAGCTTTCCGGCAACTTTTCCCGATTTTTTTTCTGGATCTCGGGTTGCAGGCCTATTCCGACCCTTCCCATCCAAGTTTTAGTAGTTCCTGTCTGGGTAGAATTTTTCTGAGATCAGGAAGATTATATCTCCGGAAGGCTATTTCTGTATTCCTAGTATCCGTATTCAATTTTTGATACTAAGGATTATTACTTGTTCAAACTACGAGTGATACAAAAATAGATAATAATGCTATGTCTCAAATTAGTGTTGTACAATTGCTGGATAACACTTTAGAACCAATCTATGTAATTAACTTAAAATTCGTGTAGTTTTTTTTATCTTTTTTCTTTCTTAATAATCCATGATTCAATCTGCTGCTAAGCTAAAACTAGAAGGATGTTAAGCCAATAGTTGGTATCAGCATCTGATGCAAATAGGTCTTTTAGATTTACCAAATTCTTCTCATGAGCTTCCTCTTTGACAGACAAGAGCAACTCAGTAAGTTTGGTCTTGATGGATCGGCCTATGCAACTGAAGACAAGGTGTCCTCATTTATTTTAGATTTAGCTATCATAATTTGTGCTGTCTATGTTGGTTTTTCAGTTAAAGATATTATCAGGAATCCAATGCTTCTGTTGGCCAATGTGGCAGGCTGTAGATGATCGCACAGTTGGCCATAATCCAGAGAGGTTAAGTTTGTTGAAAGGTGGCATAGTATACAGCAATGCTATAGTGTAAGTTAGCTAAATCTAGTGTAACTACTTAATTTATTTGCCTACAAGGTTTACTCTTTCTTGGTGTAAAAATATTTTTCCCCAATTGACATTGGTCAATGGTCACGGTTTAATCAGCTAATTTCCTTTTCATTTCTCCCCACTCTAACTGTTTTCTTCATAAATTAAATTAATCAGTCCAATTGTTACATCTCCTCCCTTTTCCTCTAATAAGAACTTTAACCTTGCTACTCATTTTCTTACTTATTCCGTTTTGCTTCTTGTGTCATCTCGTTTGTACCACATATTTTGCAGAAGCAGAATAAGAGATAATTCTCCAGTTGCAACTTTATATTGCTATACCTAAAATGGTACATCACCAAATCACCTGAATCACAAGCTGACGGAATTAATTAAATCAGAGTCTTTCCTAACTGCCATCCTTGTAGAAGCAGTGGAAGATGTTATTAAACGAGTTACAAATTGTTTGACTAGTTCAAGTTAGCAAGAGGACAATTTTTGTTTGCTCGGGAGTAGGAAATTTTACATGTTTGCCCATATTGACTTCTTCAGCAATTTCTTCATGAAGGAAGGTATTTTTTATCCCAACTGATAGAGAAATCAATGGAAAATGGTGCCTTAGAGACAAGTGCAATTTTGGCCAACTGGAAAAGACCCATCAATCTGGTTATATTAAAGTCAAGCTTTAAGACTATCTATCTTCTTATCTGGTCCTACCCTAACTGTAAACGTCCAATGAAATCCAACTATAGTTTTTACCTGTAAGAAACAAACTATGTCCTCAAGTACCCATTTCCATGTGAATGAGACATTTTCTCAACCATAGCCTAGTCCCAGGCTCCCAGCTTAGATTAGCCATTGCTTCTGAGACAATTTTGGGTATTTGAAAAGTGGATAAGTTTGTAACAAGAACATGATATGAAGGTGAGAAATAGTGATAACTTATGAAATTGAAATAGTATGAGGATTGCGAATAGACTGGATACCTCTGCAAAGAGGAACTGGAAAAAATCGATTAATGTTTGTTCTCATGGTATATGTCTGCAAAACGCACCTAATGAGTAGTGACTCATCCTATTCCAAATCTAGAACCTGAATGAGTTTGACCTAGATATAGAATCAAATGAGTAAGAAATAAGGAAAAAGTCCCGAAAGAAGTTACATAGACTAAGATAAAGTATTTGTTTGTAGTGGGATCATAGTGTTCATAAGATTTTTGAAGACGGGAATGCCTAAATAAACGTAGACTTGCCTTTGTCATGTCCAAGGGTGAGATTCTGCAAAGCTTGTACAACTAAATACAGATCAAGAAAGCTGAAACTGAGTTTGACCTTAATATAGAATCAAATGAGTTCCTCTGTGCTGCAAAACAGAGGAAGTCTTCCAATTGATTATGTAGCAATAAGTGGGAATATTAACTCAAAAAAATTATTTGCAACTTGTTTTATTCAAAGTGTATTTTTCGTTTAACGACAAGAAATATGCAAACATGCTAGATGCAGGATGCCTTGGAAAGACATAAAAGATGAGAAGGATGTGGAAAAAATATTAAATATTCTGTAAAGAACCACACTGATTACAACAGATACCAAGTGCAACAGGCTTGAAAGATAGAAAATATTCTGATCTATTTCTACAACAGATACCAAGTGCAACAGGAATAGCTATCAAATAGAACTAACACAATTAGTGTAAACAACTCAAATATAAGTGTTGGCCTATTCTGGATTAGCTTTGGAAGACCACTGTGTGTTTAGCAAACTAAGATGACACACTCCAAATAAGACATTTTAGACAGATCTGGGACTATCTTTTGTAAATTGGAGATATAGGCATGTTTCAGACGGTTATAAAGTATATATAATGAGGCGCCAAAAGTAAAAACATCAAGGTTTTTCAGACTGAATAACTTATACAAGTCTTGTGACATGTCCTTTTCCAATCATTTGCCCCTTGCTAAAGTCGTGCAGAATGACAGAATTAACTAAACAAATTATTAAACAATTTAGGTTTTTGGTTAGTTTATTAACAGATACAGGGTTTTATGGACAATCAGGTGCAAACACCATTGAAGTTAAAGACAATGAAGGAAAAAGTGAGCTGTACCTAATAACTACAATTTTCTACAAACTTTTTAATGTCTAGTTTTTAGTCTGATTCTTTGGAAAAATTCTGAAGTTTTCACTCATAAATCTAATAGAGGCTATCCCGAGCTTGTGCAGCTATTGGAATTGCATTTCTCCTGCAACTAAATACAAGATACATGAACTATTTTCATTCATTATGTCATCAAAAACAAAAAAAACTATCTTCTTTCTTTAATTTCTCTTCTTAATTTCAGTACAGTTTCACCAACCTATCTCAAGGAGACACTCTGTTCTGGATGGCTTTCTGGTGCTTTGATGAGAAACCGTGATAAGTAATGTCTTCAGCACTTACCATTAATTACATTTCCTTGTTACATTAAATTCTGCTTCATTAATCCTGCTTCAGCCTCTCTTTCTGAATCTCTGTAGAAATTAGCATGTGACATATTTAATACCAATTACTATAAATTCTCTCTTTTACTTTGCTTTATTTTTTTTATCTGTTTTTCTAATAAAGCTGTTTAAACAAGTTATGCTATCATTCAGGTATTCTGGCATTTTAAATGGGATCGATACTGAAATGTGGAATCCAGCAACAGATATTTATTTGCCTGCTAAATTTGATGGTAACTATTTCTGTGATGTTGTAGAAGTACTTAGACGTCACTTGCTTTGAGCTACCACTCCATATGTTTTCCCCATATGAGGGATGCTAATGTTGGTATAAATTCAAACGGATTACGTCTTAATCCAAGGAAATATTAAAAAAGTTCACCTCATTCATGCTGGACATGCGGAAATACAATGGAGACTTCCTTCTTTCCTTTTCATTTATTTGAGAAATGTAGTCACAGGGTTCATGCAGAGTTAACCAGAAAATTGTCACAGTCAGTGTTGTCCATCAACTACCCCAGGGATAATAGCATAGGGTGACTTCACATTATATCGTGATACTCATTGATCCAATGTATCTCAATAAAGACAAGCACAGGAAAGGACTTTAATTAAAACCCTACTACACAAGGCTCATTCAGCAGATACATGATTTTTGGTCTTGTATCGTAATCTAGGTATTGGGTAATGCATAGGGTAAGATAATTGTAATTGTTTAATGACAAATCATTGCTACTGCAGGAATTTCCGTTCTCTTGATGAAAGAAAGGGACCTAATTCAACATGTCAGTTTTTTCAAAACTTTGCATATTATTAGAGACTGTTTAATATCATTATATCATTATTAACTTACGGCATTGAATGTGATGATTTCTCAACTATATTCACCTATTAAGGGGGGAAAAGGTCAAAATTTACTGATATTATTGCCTTGCTTTGAAAGACGCTGGTGTTTGCTTTCATTGTTGTCTTTTTCAAGTTTATATTTTTGGAACTATGAGACACTGGGGGTTTGCACTTAAAAGACTTACCGTTCAATCAGTTAGCATGGAAGAGCTGTCAATTAGTTTTCATTGTTTAGTTGTTTACTTGGACATGAAACTGTCAATTTTGTGATTTTCTAGTCCATATAAAATGTAGTATAGATTTCAAAGTGCAGAAATGGGATGAAAAAAGTAGGACAATCTTTATCTAATCCAAAAAAAGGTAGGACAATTTTTAATGAAATCTTTTTGGCTTGTGAATAAGAATTAATCCTGAGCAAGTCTTTTGGGAATTTCAAAAGCCCTTTGATCATAGCTCAGGGGGTTGTCCTTGGCTCTATACTCTAGTTATACCAGCTTGCTGCTTTCTTGATCTGATTTCCATGTTCACAGGAAATTACCAAACTCTTGATGTGTTCCTTTTTTTTTGAGAAAGCTAACATAACTCTTTATGTGTTCCTAAAAGCCTCATGATCCACTCTGTTAATATCAATATGATAAGTGTCATAGGTAGTACTAGTCATTGGTTATTGAATCTCATTGAGTTACCAAAGTGTGGCATGATGTGAATTCGCCAGCAGAAGAGAAATATATGTGTCTAGAAGTTCACTCCAACATTTCTTCTAAGTCTTCCAGAATGATCCCCATGTAGACGTCTAATCCAACTTTGATCTTTTCAGGTAGACTAAACCATGATTCAGTATTTCCGGTATTTGGATGCTCTCTTTACACATTTTTCCTGCTTAGGAATATGATACTCCTTTCGTATCTATCAGCTTTGGGAAGCTCTTACTCCTTTTAAGTATATTGCTTCAGATTCTAAGAGAAGTCGCACACATCAGACCTTTCTGTTGTTTAGGAGTTAATTTTCACAAGTGGATTCACGTGACTTGACTTGGACTGCTTCACTTATACATTTTACATAACATGTGCAAACTATTTACAGTCAAGAAGTTGATGTCCTCATGGTTCCCACCTTTCCATTAATCTGCTTGATTCTTCATTAAGTATACTAACACTTTCTTTTCAAACCAGAGCACAGGAAGTTTGGTTTTTATTCTGTGTATAGATATTATGCAAAAGAAATGAGCCAAAAGGTTTTATCCATCTGGTCGTCCTCTCTATGTCCACAAGTCTACCACTGGTGTTCCTTTGACCCTAGCCTCTACATGAAAAGGGATGCACAATTAACCAAAATTGCCTCCTTTTTGGCACAAGGAGAATGTGTCTTTCTCACGGTTAATTTCTCTTGTGAACTTCTAGCTTTGGTTCTTTTCTCCTTTGGTAAATACTTTCTTGATATATTTTTTCTTGAGAATGGTAACAGTTAATCTATATATCCACTGGTATACTACATCAAAATATGTTGTCCCCCTACTAAAGTATTACAACTTACATCTTGAACATCTATTTGTTGTTCCTATGAATAGTCTAAAAGCGTCAAAAATATCTACTGTTTGAGCTATTAATTTCTGTTTACACCAAAAATAAAACAGAGCTAAACAATTCATTTTGAACTTCTGGAAGTTGCTCTGCTTGTCTTCAAAACATCTCCTATTTCTTTCTTTCCACATTATCCACGAAGTGCATACGAGGACAATCTTCCATCTTCCCTCCTCTTTGGCTGCATTGCCATCCTTGTTCCAGCATTTTAGCAATCCTTTTATGTTCCCTGGCCTCACCCACTTAGTCCTCCACAGATAAATGAGTATCTTCCGCCACTGGTCTGTCCAAACTTCCTTCCGTACCTTTGTAGTATCCCCCATTAGCTTTGTTTCCTGTAGACACACTACATCAGCTTTCCATGTATGTAGAATCTTTCTGATTTGCCTCCTCTTTCTGCCACATTTTAGTCTCGTAACATTCCAAGGCACTCTTTCCGACTTCATTGATCTTTTATTGCCAGGTATCCCCCCCTACTTCTTGAGCCATTACTACAAAATTTGGCATCAAGCTCTAATCCTTTCAGTTCATTCACCCCTTCTTTTTTACAATGGCTTGTTCATCCAATTGTTGTTGTCTCTCTTCATAAATATTTTTTTGGCCTTCTCATCGCACCATTTAAGATATACACCCTATTCAGTGCTTAGTTTGATGATGTGTTGTTGAATCTATTCTGAAGTGTTGGCGTCTTGAACAACCTCCTCAATTGGTAATTGCATTTTCAAAGGAATTACATCTTCTTTGATGCAATTTGCTGCTTCATCCTGTTCCTTCAGTGCAAGGCCTTAGATTCCTCTTGGTCTACTTGTCCAGCTTGTTCCAGTAATAAGCTTTCCTTTAAATGTACGATTTTAGTTGATTTATTAGTCATACAAATGTTGAAATGATCTTCTTGTGTCTCTGCATTTTCTTCCTCACCCTCGTACATCACTGTGTTACTCACGACTTGAGTTATTGCAGATGACTGAATGTGCGATATTGTTCTTCTTTCTCTAAGTGTGTTTGCTTGGATTTCAATTGTGACTGGGTCTATAGTTTGGGCTTCATTCTCAGCGAACTCAATTGGAAATCTCTGAATTATTGTGTCTGCTTTTGTTGGGCTTAAAATTGGGCCCAAGTTCTGAAGCTGAGTAAAAGGTCCAAGATTACCTTTAAAAGTCCCCTCACTGTTACTTGGCACCCTATGTGCCTTTGACCTAGTCTTTCCCCCATCGACTGACGTGCCCTATCAATTTCACCCAAGAGTCGGTCCTCATGTCTCTATCAAAAAAAGTTGGCACTGTACTATTATAATCTAGTGGATATTTCAAAAGGCTCTCCACTTCTTCTTCCATCTGATTTCACAGTGACCGGAGCTTCGACCCACACCGGAATTGTATAGATAAGACCTTCAGTTTCCACTTCAATCTCCTAAGGAATCTCCTTTCCATCCCCCTTCACTTTGATTCGAGCCCAGTGAAGATGATTTCTTAGAGTTGTCTCCTCCTCTGTTTCAATGAATCCACCACAATGGTCACCTATCTCTTCAAATATCTTATGTCACCAGAGATTCAATGGTAAACCCAACAATCTAACCTAGACCCAATCCCTGTTGATCTCCTCCGGCCAACATCCGACGGTAGTATTCCACCATCGGAGATTCAATTTTTTCTTTTGCCAAATCCATTCTCCCGTCATGACATGTTCTGCTTTCCTTGTGAGGAATTCAAAGAGATACTGGGAGTCATTCATGCCGAAGACATTAACTCCAAAAGTTGACTTCCATGTGTTACATGCCCATTTCCTCACATCACTCAAAGTTGGCGTCTCTTTTGGTGACAACTGAAATTTTCCAACTAGGCATCGGCTCAACAGATCTGATTCTGTCCTTGAGCCTCCAATTACAGATATTTTGTTGTTTCTTGATGTTATGTGTGTTGTTTTGGTCTCCTCCGTCATCCATCTGCTGTTTTTGAAAGCTTCCTTGTACGAGGTTTTTGTTTGTCTATTTCTGCCAGGAATAGGGTTCTTCACTCTGTTTGTATCATTGATAAAGTTAGTAAATTTATGGGCTATATTTCCCCAACCCTCTTTATGAGGACTCTCTGGTGTAATAATGATAGATTTACTTCCCCCTTGAATGACTATGAAGCTGATGTACCTACCACTTTCATTATATTTCAGAGAACTCTGGAAAGTGGTCCTTCATGTTCCATCTCTTTATTGTCTTCCTCTTTTCTTCTGTAGCTGCATTGAAGATGAACACCAACCACTTCATGACATTAATGCTTATAGTAACTTGTCTCATTAAATATCTGTCGCGCTCGATCCAGTCGAACAATACTTCTGAATCTGAATGTCTCCTAGTAATTTCATAGGGTTTAAACCCTGCATTATAAAAACTCCTATCTTCCCCCATATCTGTTGAAAATTCCGGCCAGAGCAGCCGGAAAATTTCTCCCCTGGAGACAGAAAAATTCAAAAAGGACTAAAACTGACAAACACGAGAAAAAAGTGCCTGAGAGCATTCCTTGATAAATTTTTTTGGGTAACCAATGTGAATATTACCATAACCAACAAGAAAAAGCATCCAATACACCTATGGGAGCACGAAGCACCTAATCTCACAACCACCTACTAGAAAAGGTATCATGAGAAATGTTAGGCCTCCAGAATAAGACGAGTTACAAATGATCTTATGATCAAACTGGTACAACTACGAACTCTCCTACTAGCTTTTAACTGATCGAGTCTTTCTACAATGTCCTCCTTTACCAATATGAAAATTGTCTCAGTCTGTACACTTTGGTGCTTGAATGTAGTCCAGTTTCTAGCTTTCCTAGTATAGTAGACAATTGCTCACCAAGTAGCTGCTACAATCTCCTTTTTGAAATGTTTTTAGTGCTTCCTTCTAATTCTCTCCAACACAGTTTTCACTTCACCAGCTTGAAGTTGTATGCTCAGCCAGTTTGATAAATCAGTTCTCAGTTGTTTGGTCCAAGCACAATTTGCAAATACGTGCAGGGGTGTTTCTGTAGTTTTCATGTCACATGAGCAACATTTATCACTGTTGATGGATATGTTCAAATGTCTCAATCTTGCTTTTGTAAGTAGTCTCCCCCAGAAAGCTAACCAAAGAACAAATCTATGTTTAGGTTGGGCTACTTCTGTCCACACAAGGTCATCTACTCTCTATCTGATGAGCCAATGAGTGTATTATAGCTATTTTTCATAGAATAGCTACTTTTTTTATTTGCTGTGTAACAAATTTTAGCTTTATGGATATTTCTTCACCTTCCTTCTTGTTTCGCGTTTGTGTTTTTGAAGCCAGCAAAACTGAAGGGAAGAGGATATGCAAACAATTTGTTCAAAGGGGACTTGGTCTTCCTTTCCAAGGCATCAAACACGGTATTTGTGTGGCTGATCAAATACCTTTGGTTGTCTGCATTACTAGATTGGTTGCTCAAAAAGGTCTTCATCTCATCACTCATGCGATCAAGCACGTTGAAGAACTAGTAAGTGTTTATCCCCATTTCGTCCTTTTCACCAAAAGTGAACTTAGACACAGGAAAACAGACATTCGATCAGTCAAATTTATACATAAATAGCACATAGGATACATTTTCATTATGAAAGGTTCAATTGGATGACCGTTTATCATCTTATGAGTGAAAGAGTCATTGAGATGATGTGAACTTGACTTTTCCATCATAAGCACAGAACTTGTGAACTACTCTCGTCACTTCCTAAGACATTCCCGTGTCTCAACTATGACAGATGCGTAGAATCCCGATTTGTGTATTCAGTTTCAGATTTTGATATTAAATCCCACCAGTTCCACCCTGGGGATATAGGGCTACCTGAGCAAGGGGAGTCGGAGAATGATCTGTCATCTTGCAGTGCAGATGATTGTTTTTGCCTCCTCTCCACATAAGTAAAAATCTGGAACATAATTGGTATATCACCTTTCAATAAGATTGTCCTGTCACCTGGTCAGGACTGCCGCTTTTGCCCAAAGCCATGTAAAGTAAGCCACATTATATGGAACTTTGATTTTCCATATCATCTTCCACAGCCAACAGCTAATCTGGTTGTTTGTTAGGCTGAACACTTTATAAGCAGATTTTACAGAGAGCTTGCCTAAAAACGGCATGCATATGTTGGACAATTTGGAGGGAGAGAGATTTTAGATTCTTTTGAAGAAAAAGGAGAGCCCATCGAAAAGACTAAAATGAGCTGTTCAGTTTATTTTATTTTTTGACGCAAACAGAGTTACGTTAGTGATGCTGAAGCCGTGATAGAATCTATATAATCCCTTTAACAATAGCAAAGGATGCACTTTTGGTAATTTGTAATTACTTTTGACAGCACCTTGGTGATACAATTGTAATACACTTATCTCAATTTTATTTTTACAACTTTGCAGCTATTCGTAGGATTGTTTTCTAACTTGTGGCCAATTGATAGGGTGTTGTTTTGACCATTGTAATTGAAGTCTGCTGCTGGCATGTTTTTCAGGGTGGACAGATGGTTGTTTTGGGGAGGGCTTCAGATGATCGAGTTGAGAGAGAATTTGAAGGTTTAGCAGAACTGGTAACCAAAATTTCTAGACTTGAACTATTCTTCCTGCTGGCATGTTGTGGTGGTACAGACGGTTCTTTCTCCATCATGAGATAGAATATGGAAGCATTCACCACTGATAATACAGTTCATTATGATCATTTTTATTTTTCCTTCTCTTTATCATTGTTTTTCTAATGATTTTAGAATGGAATCATTTAATGATTTAGATGTCAGGTTCCAGACCAAAGTGCTGGAGTTTGACCTGAAAGAAACGCCAATTGATAAACCAAAAAGAAAAACAAACAGGAAAGAACAAGAGTGATAGAATAAGTTATGTAAAATTTACTGCACTAATTGCTTATTAATGCATATTTCCAAATTTCCCTCCAGAGTAAACTAGGAGTAATAAGCAATTAGTGATTTCATATGTTAACAAATGTAATTCCATCATGCTTATAAGTATCATCACTACTCACACATTTGAGAGAACATAGTGTTTTATTTGAAGGAATCCAATAAATCTGTTGGTGTTTATTAACCTTTTTGAATGACCATGCAATGGTGATATCTGTTACTTGTCCTCTTTGTAGCATAACAAGGGCTCCAATATCCGTATCCTTTTGATGTACAGGTAACTACTTTTTAAAGCAAATTGATTATCTAAAATTCCTGACCTTCAACAAATGCTAGTGGTAATGTTTATGAAGTTATCTGGAGCTTCAACACAAATTCAACTTTCTTATCTGATTAAGTGCACCTCAAATGATATGAATCACTTGTAGATATCAATTCTTTTTTCATATGAATCACCTCTATACACTGAATGCATGATGGAAATTTTAACCCGAGTTCTCACTGTTTCCCAAATGGCGTCAATCATGAAGCGAGGAGCTGTCCCATATGCTATATGCTGCTGCAGACATGATCTTGGTGCCTTCAATGTATGAGCCATGCGGGCTAGCACAGATGATTGGAATGCGTTATGGAGCTGTAAGTACTAGGATTACTTATTAAGAGTAGTTTGTTTCACATTTTATGTTGATAAACTGGGAAAGATATCTGTTTCTTATCTGCTTCTGAGTTTCCCTAATTATATGGTAGAAGAACTTGTCAGAAAGATTTTATTTAGGGCTGTGTGTGTTTCTAGAAGGATAAAATGGTGGTTGTCCAATTATTGCTTCCAGAAATATACTCATTCCAGCTTAAGAAAGGAAACACTAGCAAGGAGTTTTTGTATCTGTTTCAGGTTCCCATAGTTAGGAAGACGGGTGGTCTCGCGGACACGGTTTTTGACATGGATGATCAATCTCACACTGAGATTGCTAATGGGTAACTGATCAAATTCTTGAAATCCTACTTATTTTTGTATTCAAAATTGATGCTAGTATGAACTGGGTTCTGAACTTCAACCTTGTGTGTTGTTTTTTTCAATAAAAAATTGTCTGGTCATGCAGCTTTTCCCATTTGTAGGTTTGACTGGTATTGCAACTGTGATTCTGAAGTGCTCACATATTTCTCATGTAGGTTTGTCTTTGAAGGAATTGATGAAGGATCCTTAAACTGTGCATTAGGCCGTGCATTTTCTTACTATCAAGAAAGTAAGCCATTTTATCCTTGAATATCCATGTAGCTCTTGCCCTTCTGATTTCCTTGAAAGATACCAGTTGATTGTAGGCTCTCAGAAGCTGACTATCTGTTTTGAGATAAAGATATAATTGTTTGATTGATATGATGTCTGCAATTGTAATGCAGAACCAAATGAATGGAAAGCTGTCGTGCAGAAAGTTATGCGTATTGACAATAGCTGGAATAATACAGCAGGGAAATACATAGATATCTACAATTCCGTAAGAGTGAGATAAAACAATTTCCCAAGGCACAGATCATTTTGCGATGATGAAGAAATAGAACCAGTTTATCTTTAATGTATTTTTTTTTTCCCTTCATATATAGACAAGTGTTGCATTTTCCTCTGCTACCAGTTGATCCAGCTTGTGATAAAGTAATGATAACAAATTCTCCTACGGTCTGTAAATGTTTCCTTAATTTCAAATCTTTAATGTGGATCACAAGTGTTTGTCCATGATGATGGCCTACCTGGACGTGCTGCCTTTTTCTTTCATCCTTATTAATTGTAAAGATCCAAGCAAAAGGTTGTGTAATCACAGCAGATGAAAACCAAGGATTCATGGAGTTCAAACTTCAAACCAACGAAGGAAAGATTTATAGGGTTCCAACCTTTATAAGTTCTTGTGTCTTAAAGTGTGGTTATTTCCCTATTAATTTTCAAATGGTGGTTATATCTTATTAGCCTTCCCCAAATGGTGTTGCTGAATATTTCATTCATGGTAAAGAAATTCCAAAAAGATGATATTCACATTGAGCTAGTCCGTATGAGGTACGCATCCGTATTGTGGGATTATAAAGATAAAGAGTCGGCCCATTTTTTGGAGAAGAATTATTATTCGACACCTACCTGAAATGCTTACTCTGCAGGACAACGAAAAAGGAGCAAGACGAGGCATATTCCAAATTTCAAGAAGAGGCTCACGGTTGCTTGAATCAAGTAAGACTACTCAATCAAACAAGATAGAGAAGAGAATACTACAACTAAGAAAAATTCTCAAGGAGGAGCAATACATATCTGATATAGACGTATCTTCTCAATCAAGGATTACCAATCCCTGATTGAAGGAAATTCCCTAAAGAGCTATATCAACAATATCAAGATCAAATCAATCAAAAGAGTAATTAAGATGGAAAATTAATTTCAATAACAATCAAGGTAAAGAATTGATTCTCTACACAGCAACGGTCATGAACCAACACATCACTATAAAAGATCATGATTAAAGAACAGAGTGCACAACTTCACTTGAGCAAGAACTATTCCCTCTTTTATCTCAAAATATACATTATAGTTAACTAGTGAAAAGAAAAAGCTATACACGTAGAGATTGTGATCACAAAAGGATGTCTAATTTTCCAGACATAAGGAACTTTCAGAGTTTATCACAACGATATCTGTAACCGTCAAGGTCGTTCAAAAGCTCTAAAGGGAACCCTTAAAACCCAAGGGAACTGGATGAGGCAGTAGGCACAAGCATTTGTGTCAATTAGTCTTTTTGTTAGTTCACATCCTGCTATACTTGCTTATCTGTCTAACTTTGCAGGAGAGTCGACTTGAGTGTAGCAATAGTCGATTACTAGTTATTCTAACTAATGAAAAGATTCCAATTCAACACCCCCTCACCAACAACCACCACCACCCAAGATATTCAGAAAAGCAAGAACGTCCATGTCTAAAATCAGTTGATTATAATGTATGTGTAAACTATTTCATGATTAATTGAATCTTGGCATAATACTATCTTATATTCATTACCCAATTCACTACAAGTGAAACAATGAAAATTTCAGGAAATACTGTTATCATAAGGCATTAGTATTTCAAGATCTCTTATATGGCAAATTGGCAATCTAAGAAGGAACACCCAACAGGTACGTAATTCATCAAGCAAAGTTTTCATAAAATCATATAAAGTAACACGATTTATGAAGCACATATCGTTAAGCTTTGAATGGAAGATAATTAAATTGTTAGAGATTTTGACAAGCACGGCTTGAACTACGAAATAGTTCAAAAAATAACATCAAGGAACACCATTTTGCACCTAGGATTTTTTTTGAATTCTTCGGAAATAACAGCAAAAGGTATGTAGCCAGAAATAGCAGAAAGAACCCCAAGTTATGTATCACCCCATACCCATGTAACTCCAGATGAAATGTTGGTTACATTTGATCTATGGTTTCTCCAACATATGTAAACCTCTTTTTTTCATATGGGTAGACACTCCCATGTGAATAAGAAAGTACAATAACAGCTGAAAGGATGTTTACATATCAAGTTTAGATCATATAAAGAGTTCCCAGATGAAGCAATAGATAGATACAAAGAGGTGTTTTCAAGCCTCTAACAAACCTATTTTATTCAGAATCTGAATATTGCTGACAAACAAATAATAGGGTTCACAAATATTCCCATTATGAATGATTTCAAGGAATTACGCCACTTTGATGACAAGCTATTCACATCATGAAAAATACAAAACGTCATTTTACAATTTACTCCAATTTCAGGTTAAGGAGCCTCTATATATGGAAAAGTGGAAAGGAAGGCAAAAAGTATCAATCCTTTTACATGGGACTGATTGTATGTTCTACCTGTAGATGCTGCTGCAACTGAAACCAGAGATATGGGAAAGTCTCTCTAATGCCTCTTCATTTTTTGTATATATTTGGGCACTTCAGCTGATAACCTCGGCAAGTACTTAAAAATCTGGAAAGACAGTCTTCCGTTAGAGAATAGTAATATGGGTTACATTTCTTCCAATACCATAAGAATGTACACATGATAAATGGTAATCTACAAACATTAACATTTTTTTTTTAGAAATATTAGTAAAATAAGTTGACTTATGCTAAAATGTCATTTCTTTTGAATGCATGAGGCCCATGTTGGAAATTTTGGAGAGGATGAGTACTCTCAATCAATCATTTGTCTTGAAGACAAGTGAAGAAATGATTCTTATTTAACTCACTCGACTTGCTTTTGATAAGTAGGCATTTTTGCCAAACTTATGCTACTTTTTAATGATACATTCATGCCCCATTTGTGAGATTAATGGGCTAATAATGGTTTGAATGATAAAATTTTAGGTTTTGACAGTTGTTTTTTTTTTGAAACTGGTAATGTTAGGTTTTGACAGCTTTTGAAAAGCTCAAGGAGTGGAATGACTTCAATACTTGAGGAAATTGGACATGGAGGCTAAAATTTGAAGAAAAAGTGGCTAAAAAAGCAAAGAGAAAATTGTGGGGGCCAAGTACCTCACCCATGTATCTGAGCCACGTAGCCAGGGAAGAGAAGCCAGTCAAGGGGGAGCTTCTGGAATCACCCACGTGACGTAGCCATACGTAAAGGACCCTGCTGCCATATTTTTGCACGACTTCAAATAGATTTTTACAGTACTTTTTATATCATCTTTGTACCTTTGAAGCTTAGAAAGCATCTATAACTATTTTTTAGAGGTTTTGAAGGATTTCTCCATAGAGCATCAATTTTCTTTCCTAATTGCTCTTAATTAGCTAAACTCCATAGCTGGGGTTGTAGACTCTTATGGCATTAACATGAATGTGTATTAGTTTATCTTGCTTATTATTACTTGGGCTTTTATTATCTACTTATTTACATTCTTATTTGGTAATTTGGTCGTTGCAAACGCTAGATTAAGCTTTACACGTCCATTTCTTGCTTGGAAGAGTGGAAATTGGATTGGATATTGCACAAGTAGCAAGGAATTGAGTATATTGGGGAATCCTTATGCTTGATTAATGGAATCGAACTAGGGAGATTCCTACTTGGGTTTATCAATTGGGTCTTAATATTTCTTTCTCTCGAGTTCGGAAGAATTTGTAGGGATTAACTTCCTAGAATTGAAAAATTCTACTAGTAGTTTTCAATAAAAATCATAATCATCAATCCTATGTTGTACACAAGATACTTATATTCATGAAATAGATGATTTATCTTTGAAGACAAGTGGATGAAAATATACTTCTACCAACTTCATGACTTTCATAAAATTTGTAGCGCCTAGGCATTTATTGGAACTCTCTACCATGTGCCTATACTAGTATGTGCATCATAATTTAGTTCTAAACATTTCCTATTCCCTAGACCCTAGTTCATGAATAAAAGCATACATGTGTCTTCAGTCTTCACATTAATTTTTTCCTAATACATGAACTAGTTAAATTCATGTACTTGGGGTGGATCTAGTTTACTTTTTTATTTTGACACTAGGATCTAGTTTACTTTTGCTAAACACCCCCCTTGAACTTGATTCATAATTTCAAGAGATAATCTAGAAGACATCAAATCTTGGTGAAGATATGCACAAGTCAGTCTTGTGACTTCAGAAACTCGAGCTCAACTTTTTCTTAAATCTTCCTCTACCTCATCATGTTTACGGCTTCTTTGATACGAGTCATGTTTTTCAATCTTTCTCCTAATTCTTCATAGAATCCTATGGTTGCAAAGCTTGTTCAACAATTCTTGTTTCGGATTATTACGTTTTTAACCAAGAATGAAACAACAAAAGACAATCTAGCTTAATCCTCAGTAACAATTTGTGCTTCTCTTCAAAACACCTGGAGTTCCTTTCTCCCAAACCACCCACCAAATACAACAAGGAACAGCATTCCACCAGTTATTTCATACTTTGCTTTGTCCATACTTATCCCAACATCGCAAAAGATCATGTGTAGTCCCAAGCATGGACCATTTGATACCCACAGAATTCAGAAATAGCTGACATAGCTGATCAGTGAAAGGACAATGTAAAAGATATGATTAAGAGTTTCTGCTTGACCACCGCATACATAAAGAGATTTATGTAGGTTGTCTACTGTCAGGCATGATTCTTTGGCCCCAAATCCCAATCCATGAGAAAAACACCACTTTGTAAGGATCTTTTGACTTCCGAATGCGTTTCCAGGGCCATGGCTTAATAGGTTGGAGTTGCTCTTCCTTGGATACAATTCTGCAGCAAGATTTGACTGAGAATTCCCCTTTGTTGCACCCTTTCCAGAGCAATTTATCTAAACTTGAGGAGCAACTTTGAAAATTTTCCAACAGCTTCTACAGTTTGCACACACTTCAACATTCCCAATCGTTCATATTTCTTCTGATGTTGACTGTCCAGGATCTATTTGCTCCAAACTTAGCTACGGTGCCTTCAGTGCATGTCACCACAGAACAAATCAGGGAACAATCCTTTAGGGGACCATGGCTAATCCAATCATCATGCGGGCAAAAAGTTATTGCATCCATTCCCACTCTAAAAATTCAGGCCACAGATTTCTAATGCTCTGCAAGACTGGCACCCCATGTGGATTTTTAATTAGCTTGGTACACCAGCTACTTTAGATACCATACTTGATCCTAACAACTCTATTCCACAGTGCTTCCACTTCTAGATTGAATCTCCAAAACCACTTCATTAGCAAACTTTTATTGTGTGCATT